TTTGAGACACGTAGAAATTGTTGGAATGGGTGATAAGAGACAAATCACCGCTGTATTTGGAGCGTCAGTCAGTGGAGAATTTTTACCACCCCAGTTAATTTATACTGGGAAAACTCCAGCTTGTCACCCAAACGGTGTCACTTTCCCAGCAGACTGGCACATTACCCACACTGAAAACCACGAGGCAAATGAAAGCACAATGAAGGACTACATTACTAAAGTCATTGTGCCATACATTGAGAAGATTAGGTCCCAATTACCACAAAGGCATGTCACATCTCCACAGCCAGCCTTTGTCATTTTTGACATTTTTAAAGGTCAGATGTGCCAGTCTACCATTGACCTCTTAATGGATAATAACATTCATTTTGTACATGTGCCACCAAATTGTACCAATAGGCTACAGCCATTGGACATATCAGTGAACGAACCTTGCAAGGATTTCATAAGGAACAAGTTCATTGAGTGGTACTGACTTAAAGTATGTAAAGCCCTTGAAAACACTCAAAACCCCAGCCCTATAATAGACCTAAGGCTTTCTACCATGAAGCCTCTTGAGGCACAATGGCTTAAGTTGTTTTACGACTATATGCAAACCAATCCGGATATAATCAAGAATGGGTTCAGATCAGCAGGAATAACAGATGTATGTGTTACATAATTGTATTATACCAATACAAGCATACAAATTTGTACATGTACTTGATCATGATATGCCTTCTGGGAAAATCAGAGTTATTACAGTATACTAATTATTAAAACCTGAAAAGTGTTGTGAAAAATTTAAAACTCTTGACTCTATTTGTAATCAATGGAATGGAGATTGGGGATGGAAGGTGGGCCCAGAAGTTAAATCTGACTCTATAAATTTATGTGAATGTGTTATTATTGTGTTTATAATGTGTTTGATTATGTATTGTTTGTATTGTATTTGTATGTGATAGTTGTGTATGCATGTAAACTAGATGTGTGTGTACAATATATGTATGTGCTTTCTCTCCATCTCTCTCTCTTTCTGAACAAAATCATGCTCTTCGGAGTGATAAGATCAAAAATGATAACGCTCTTTTGAGTGATGATAAGATCAATAATGATGACGCTCTTTGAAGTGATGATAAGATCAATAATGATCATGCTCATCGGAGTGATGATATGATCAATAATGATCACGCTGTTCGGAGTGATGATAAGATCAATAATGATTACGCTCTTCGGAGTGATCATAACTGAGGCCAGTACAATTAAGTGTATTATAATTAAGTGTATTATAATTTGTATGTTTATTATTGTGTTTGTATGTCTATAATGTGTAGTGTATACTTTGTATGTCTATAATGTGTTTCTATGATAACCAGGATAAGCATTTCGTTTGTTTTTGTGTCTCAAGAAGGAGGAAAGTATAATCATAATAAAGATAATTGTTTTTAATGTATTATATGTATATTAGGGTATGCTTTAAAAATTTTAATGGGGAAAAATGTCTCAAAAACACGGTAAAGTACATGTACATTGTAGTAATGTCCTCATTACAATAGTCAATTTTTATAGGAAATATAAACAATTATATCAAATCTGTTCGAGCGTGAATTCAGTGTACAGGAGAAGATTATGTTTAGAATAATGCTATGGTGACATTAAAAATCTATTAGGTTAATACTATCATACTATTACAATTATAACTATTACTATTATTACTATTACAATTATAACTATTACTATTATTACTATTATACTAGTATAACTAATGAAAGTATTAATGGTACCTAGACCTAGGATAGTAGGTATTGTCAATGATGTAGCTCAGTATTTCAAGAAGGAGCTGTAAGTTATCAGCTCTTCTGCCTCGCCCTCCTCTCCAGCTGCCTCTCCAGGACCTAGCTCTTTCCAATCCATAGCCTCCTCGTCCATAGCTGCCTCCGTTCTGGCTTCCACCATAGGGACAGCAGCCGCCTCCACTCTGGCTTCCACCGTAGGGACAGTAGCGATTGCAGCCCGGACCTCCAGCACCTCGTCCTCCCCTGCCTCATCCCCCACCTACCCCGTCCCCTGCCTCTTCCCCCCTGCCCTGTCCTCTCCTAATTGTCTGGTCACCATCTCCTCTCAGTCCTCTACCATCATGATCCTCATCCTCTTCTCTCCCACCATTATTATTTTCCCACCATCGCCAACCCCTCCCACATCATTCTGAACAACAAGACCACCTCCTCCATTACCACTTCCTTGGCTTTTATCAGGATCGTTGTTATGATTGACAGGAAGAGGTGGTAGAGACGGTGGATTGTTGCTGCTGCTGCCGATGTGTAGGTGGGTTTGAATTCATAGTGACTTGCTATAAAAGTATATAAATTTAATTTATGAAATCAAGAAGATAATGCTTACACCAAAAAGGCCAGCTAGTGCTGAATCTCTGTCACCGTCCTGCCCAATTTCTCCATCAGCCATTTTATTATCAATTAAAGCGCCAAGAATAATAATAATTATTATTAATGAATGACA